CGGCGACCTTCTGATCGCAGGCACAGAAGCTTAGCAGGCATTCCGCGCATGCGTGTACAGTGATTCGAATCATTTCGGCCAGCGAATCGGTTCATTCAGTTAACATCAAATACCTGTTCAAAAACACAAGTTCGTTCGTGATCCAAACATCACTAGTAAATACAAAAAGTGTATTTTCACCGCTAGATAGTCACATCGGGCAGGTGGTCAAGAAGCGGTGTTTGTAAAATATTAGCATAACAGCTAATATCTTTTTAGGAAGATAATTATGATAATCCAATAACCAAACAAAATAAATAAAACGCATTTTCACCATGGTGGCCATGCCTTAATGGGTGTCACACATACACAGAACAGATAAGGATATTACCAGACTCTCAGGGTAAATAAAACGGTCTGAGACTCACACGTAACAGTTCCACGTTGAAGTTACAAGTCGTTTTAGTTATAAGTCCCAGTGTACTGTCTGCACCAATTGTTGTTAACATACAGGCAAAGTCTGCCCCCTTTCCCTAATAGCTTGATAGCTGGTTTCTATCAGAGTGAATGTGTGAAAATCCCTGTATGTAAACAAGACAGTCAGGCATCTCTGGATGTAACCATGTCTTGGTGAAGAGCATGAAATAGGACTCATAGTACTCCAAATACCCCCTTGAAATGAACCGCAGTTCATCCATCTTATTCTTCAGTAATCTTGCATTGCCCAGGATCAGTGATGGCAGGGGTGATTGATTCGCTCTTTGCTGAAACCGCTGTCGGGTGCCTCTTAATTCTCCAGCTGCTTCTTCCTATTTCATGGTGTCATGGTGCTTTAATGTCCTTGGGCAGGTGGTCAAGAAGCGGTGTTTGTAAAATTACTGTTAAGGTGTAGAGACAGAAGCACTTTCCCTTGTATGTCTCTGTAGTCGCCTTGTTCTGTTTGGCCAGATCGATATGACTGCGCAGCCAAAGAAAAGTCCAAACCACAGCAACAACACCAGAATAAGTCCCAAAACACAAGCCATCCATTAATTTTGTTTAGTTATGTTCATACACTCATTCATATGCATTCGAACAAACATATTAAACACACAAGCAGACATATCAAGCAAACTGCAACCAGTGTCCGTTTCGCCTGCAGAGCAGTCCCACCTTAAGTCTCCTCCTTTCGTCTATAGCAGAGGTGTCATACTCCAGTCCTGGGGGGCCGGAGCCCTGCACATTTTTTGGTTTCCCCTCATTATTCACACCTGATTCAACTCCTTACGCTAATTATCATACAGCTCTTGAGCTGAATCATTTGTGGTGGAACAGGGAAAGAACTAAGCTACACAGGGCTCCAGCTCTCCAAGACTGGAGTTTGACACCCCTGATCTATAGGAACACATACTTCACACATTCCTTTCTCCTGTATTCTTCCAGAAGTTCAGGATTCCCATTTAATTTCTCCCTATGTTTTTCAGTCCTAGCTTTGGCTGCAGCCTTCCTGCGCTGGTTGTCTGTCAGTTGTGGCAACAGTCAGATAAACAGTCACCATATTAAATAAACAAAAAAGGCGTGGTGGAGTATGTCCTCTGATTAACTGTGTCAGTTAATTCAGTCTTATTGTTATTAACCATCTAGTTATTCACATAGTTAAATATGAAGTGATTACATAATAATTAGTTAATAATTGTTAGATGTTAATATAATATTAATAATTGTTAGAAGTAAATAAAATATTAATTAAAATAACTTCATTTATAAATGTTATATTAAGATCTCATTACTGCAACAGCTTCTCATTGCTAATTTGATCCCTTAAAGTACGTGGTAAGGAAGAACATAAGTAAAGGTAATTAGAAGCTTTTAGCTAAGTTAGCAAATTACATGAAATTATACATCTGCTACATATTGAGGGTCTCTTATTGGCTTTACCATCACAAAAAATAAGGTAGTATGTTTTTAAAAGTAAATATCATCACCCAATTTATAAAAAAATCACAAAGTGACAGATGAGAGAAGAAGCCTCTTCCTGCAACTTGCAGGAAGGCAGGGTTGGACATCCAACCTGGCTGAGGAAGGTTTGGAGCGCTTCCTCCTACAGCTCCAGCATTGCTCCACGCGTTGTGCCAGGCTGCCAGCAGCACTTGGGAAGGTAAGGCTCAGCTCCCAGTGTTTCCCTCTGGGTTGCTGCTGCTTCCTCCCACCACTATCATGAGGTTCCTGCCACTGAAGTCAACAGGCCACTGATATCACTAACAACCTGACACCACACTTCTGACATCTAAACTCACACATGCACTGACTACACAGTCTAACCGGCCAACCCTTTGACTTCCTTCCATCCATTAACTGTGCAATATCCAGTATCTAAATGGTATTGAAAACTGCAATATCTGTATACTGTACAATGTCATCGCTCTGTGTCCAACATCCACTACTCACTGCACATGGTCATCAGTACTGTGTAATATTTAAATAATGTGCAATGACCTACACAGTTATTTATTCTTCCATATGTATATAGCGCCGCAGAACTTTTTGCACTATTTGTTTATTGTTTGTTGTGTGTTATACATATATGTTTGCACTGGAGGAGCTGCTTTTAATCTCATTGTACATGTGTATAGTGACACTAAAAGGCATTCGTTCATTCATTCATTCATTCAATGTAGCCAAATCAGCACGGTGGGTGATTTTTAATAAAGACATTAAGTTGCTCTTTTAAAAGGAGTTTCGTTTTCATTAATAGTGCACTACTAGAGGTAATTAGCAGCAGTACAAATCTTCAAAAAGTTTGATTCTTTTAGATTTGAAAACTGCTTTGACCGATACACTGAAAAGCAGTTCAATAGAATGAGTCATTCATGAACTGGACCTTACTAGCTGAAGGCTGGTAAAGCTAGTCTACCTGTGAATGGAACACAAAACTTACATTGTAGATTTTAGTGTAAATATATGGGCTTAGATATTTGATTGCATAGAGTTTTTGGATAATTTTTCTCACCTGTATATCAGTGTAAAATCTGGGGGGAAACATCATCACTGGAAAAAATTAAATCTGTCTGCTGGTTCCACCCTGTATCTGTGAACTTCTTACGCTCCAATGGCTCCCAGCGCATCTGAACACCCTTCTGTTACCCATGTCCCGTAAAGAGGAATATGGAATCTGATCAAGTCAAATCAAGTCTTGCCAAGCAGGTCTTTAATGTCATTTTTAACCATACACATCTGAGTACGGTACACAGTTAAAAACGAAACAGCATTTCTATCAGGTGCCACATAAATTGACACAAGAATAACACATAACGGCAGGATAGTGCAAAAGGACAGGACAACTGACACCTATGAGTACAAACAGCACAGTAAACCCAGTACTGATAAGGTACAGTTCGGTTGTGCAATGAGGTAGCAATAAAAACAATAAAAGTAAAGACAGCATATAGAAGGTAAATAATAATGTTGACAAGTAAGTGTGTGTGTGTGTGTGGTATCAGATCAGTCCCTGAGAGTTCAGTAGCCTGATGGCATGAGGGCAGAAAGTGTTTCTGAGTCCGGTTGTCAAGGCCAGAATGCTCTGGTACCTTTTTCCAGATGGCAGGAGGGTGAAAAAATAATGTGAGGGGTGGGTGGGGCCACCTACAAAGTTGGGGGTTTTGCGGATACAGCGTGTGGTGTGAATCTTCTCAGCTGTGTGTAGTGTATAATAACCAGGTAAATTAGAAAGACCTCGACTCCAGATTTCAACAACTGAAAATTCATCCAAAAATTGTCTGAAGCATTTACAAGTACAAAAATACTGTTATTTATCTAAAAGACACCTTTAGCCAAAGTGACATAGAATTCAGAATACAGGGTCAGGCAGTCCCAGGAGAAACTGGGATAAGAGCCCAACAGGAACATCACTCAGTCACCCACAGAATTTGAACCAGTGCCCTTCTGATCATGGGCACAGAGTCCTAACCCACAGAGCCACAGATTGCTCACCATTTCTAGCAACTGATTATGATTTTTTTTCCAAGTTAGACAACTCGACAGCATTTTACTCATACTCCATACTACATGTCAAGAAGGAAGTAATTTTATTGCTTTTAAATGCTAAATATATTTAAATGGAGCACCTCAAATGGCCAGCATCGTTCCAGATTATAAGGGTGCCGTCTGATTGCGGGAGGATGTATTATATCCATAGGTTCAGATGATACCTTCTTCAGTGACCAGTGCATTTATCCCAATTTGCATGGGGTCACAGTTTAAAACAGGACGCAACATAAATTTGACACTTAAAGCAGTGAAGCCTTTAAAAGTAATGGCAAATTTACTATTTTCAAGGAAACTGTTTAAATACAACCCATCATTCCATATATTTCTATAAAGCTCTACTTTTGTTTACTTTTCTTTAAATCAGGATACATCTTAAACCTTATCTTCTAACCGTTTTATCCATTCAGCCATATTGCTTGTCTAGTTCAGGCATGTAAAACTTTCTTGATCCCCATGGGAGAAACGTTTACCCAACAGCATTGCAAAAATATTCCCAGGGCAATTCCCCTGAATTACCAAATAAATAAACAAGCAAATAACAGGAAAGTTCATAATACAGTGTGGGTGGCAAAAGTTAGGTAGTAATATGGAAGGTACACAGATGGTAAGGCTACAGTTCTGCAGACATTAAATGTAATATACATATTTAAGTGTAACATAACTCACGGGTCTGTGCGACGTTGCTGTTCCTTGTTTGAAAAGCAGCAGTGTGAGCTTAGTTTAGGAAAGGTCACAAAAGTAACTTAAAAGGTATCTTAAGCATTATTTTTATGCTGTATAGCTGAAACTGACCCAACATCACATGTAATACTAGTACTGCGCTTCCAATGTGCGGAAAAATGTCAACGTATCTTCTGTTTCCAGCTGTGTACGTCAGGTCATGCAGGCGCAACATCTGCAGGCCACCAGGACGTGGACGCCCCCAAAAGCTAAATGCATGCATACACGCCCCTAGGATAGGTTACGCCCAAATCCTGCAGAAAGGAAATCTCGGTGTGGCCAGATCTTGTTCTGGTTTTGCCATGACCGTAGCAGCGTTTCAGTAGTAAAACATGGTTTATATCAGTGACAGGTTATTAAAGGGTTAAGCCTGTCTGATGCATTTTGATATTCACGACCTGTAATCATGAAGATAGTTTAAAAAAAATAAAATTAAAAAAAGAAAAAGTAACCGGCCCTGCAGATCGGTGGCAACACTGGGGAAGTAGTTAGAGAGAGGTCTTATTGTTTGGTGCGACGGGCTCAGCGTGGAGGTTTGCGAGTCGGAGTCTGCGCACTATATGTCTGTTAGCGGGGACGCCAAGGCGACATTACGGAAAACTCGCCTCGCACATTTCTTCTGTTTTCCGGAGTGCCATGGGATCGGAATACTGCCGACATGCTGCCTCTTGTGCTCGCTTTTCGAAAGATTAGGCTTGCCGATTAGGTTTTTGCCCTGAGCAAGCCGTTTGGAAAGAAAGCGTATGGACGCACTATGCGGGAAATGGTTGGAGGCTGCTGCGTGTGCTCCGATGAACGAGGCTGGGCTGAGAATCCGCTTGTGTATTGTGATGGACATGGGTGCAGCGTCGCTGTGCATCAGGGTAACTCTATTATTATAGCGCTTTTAGCCGGCTACATGCTAAGTCTGGGCAAGCGGGGACCATACCTAGTAATCGGGTCTAATTGTTAATATTAGGTTCGTGGTTGCAGCCTGTTGTTTTATATTTTTATATTAATACAGATACGCCTGGTCACCGTGTCAATACCCATGTTGAAACAAGGCACAAAAACGTTGATTTTAATTTTCGCGTACTGTTAACGCCGAATATTATTATAGCTAATGATGTAAGTGGAATCGCGCTTTTCCGGTGTCTGTTGTCAGCGTTAGAACATCATGGCGATTATTTTCGGCCATTAAGCTGGAAAGTCTAGACAAAACACGGGTTCAGCGCAGGATACGCAGCGTTTCCAAGACCTTTAGGGAGGACTGATTGTTTTGTTATTTGCCTGTGCTGAATGCGTTACACCAAGCTGTCTGATATTTAAAACAAGGGGTGAATGAAATGAAAATAATCACTGCTGTGCTGCTACCTAGCAAGTAGAGTATGAGAGGTTGTTGATTTTGTATGCTTTAACTGCTTGCATGTATCAGTTTATTAATGCATACATAAATGAACAGAACTCTATAGGAACTCTACATAGTTTACTTTACTAACTGTGATTTTTTTAAAACGCCAACGGTAGTAAATATCTAACCGGGCATTCTGCCTGTACCTGTAGAAATAAGTACACATATATGTATACCTATATATCTTTGTTTTTATTTGCTTCCTCGTTTTGGCTTCTTCTGGCTTGTTCCCTTGTTTGTTATTGATTAAGCTTGTATTATATTTAAAGCTGTGGAACACATACTGTCCAGGTTTTGCTAAAAACCATTTTTGGTTCTCCAAAAGCTTAGTTAGTGCCCTTCAGGACTATGGCTACCCCTGAAAATCGTTTTCTAAATACTGTCCCAATTCAGATAATTTAACTTGGGTGTATTTGGTTGTTCTGATAACAGTTCTTGGCTGTTACAATGTATGCCTTTTTACTTTTGGGATTTATTTCAGTTTTTCCTTCCAGACACCTCTGTCCAGCCAAAGCATTGGTTAATTAGATAATAGATGTAATTTAGGCTAAGGGTGCTGATCATTTGAATTCAGTAATCTCAGATTTTCAATAACCACATAAAATTGAACAAGATTCATCTTAATTGTTTTTTGTTAGAAGCGTGTGAAAATACAAAAAATATATACTTTTTTAGTAAAGATTTTTTCCCCACTTTGCTTACTCAGCATTTAATTCATAATTCTTACTGCATGCAGAAAAGGAAGTTATTCAAGTCAAAGGACTTATAAGCAAGTCTGAATTTAAATGGAGCAAAACATACAGGTTACTGGGTTGTTCTCCAGCCTTTTTCTCTTGTTCTTCCAAAGCCATGGCATACGATTTCATGAAGTAAATATCAGGAAAGAATGCAAATTCCAGATTTGGGGTACAGTATTGATCATTTGGAAATGTTTTGTCTTTCTGTGTTGAACCCAATTAAGGGGCCAGCACCCTCCTCAAACTTGACCACGATAAACACAAAATTGGTGTATGAAAGGATGGATGAATATAATTACAGTGCACTCACTGAATATTTTGTCTCATGTGGATGAAGATGAATATTTTGATGTTCTAAACCATGTTCCATTATCTTAATAAATTTTGGATCCCTGTTATGGAAGTGGTGTTGCACAACATTTTAATATGTCAGCTTCTTTAGACTCATAAAAGACAAAATTTAAGATCACTTTATAGATGGAAATGATGAAACAACATGTAAATTCCAATGCCTGAAAGGCCATCAGACTATTGATAGGACTGAGTGAGCTTTCTATTTCTGTTATGTTATTAATTCATAAAAATACTTTGTTTTGATTTTTAGTTGCTAGACTAAAAATGCTTAAAACATGAATGTTGCTCATAAAGACAAAAACATCTGTTATAAGGCTGATAATATTTATGTATTTACACTTTAGTAATTCCATCTATTCATCCATCCATAGTACAGGGTGCTGATGAGCCTGGAGCCTTTTCAGACTGGGGGGGGGGGTGCACTGCACAGGATTCCGCTCACCAGCACATGTTTGTGCACGTACAAGTAATAATTTGTGCACAGATATGGACATTTTTACTGATTCTTTTTATATATTTTTGTCGAATACCGGGATACCAGTAACTGGTAAACCTTAGAGCCACTTGCTGATGTGCTGATTAGTGGAATAAAGTCGTTTTTATTCTGTGAAAAATGGAAGATCGATCTACTGGTTAGATTTAATAATGACTTATAAAAATGTTGTAAACCGGATTAAACCTTCTTGCGGGCTAGTTTTTTGAGACTAATTCTAATGAGTTGTGTCCCGTTTTGAACCAACGCAGGACACAATTTCTCCATTTTTTTTGAAGCACACAATTTAATTTCCCTTAGTACGTCCTTCCTCCACTTGGCACATTTCATTTTTCTGGACACCTCCCCTATTTTTTCAGACTTAAAATGGCAACCCTACTTCTATGTGGTGAATGAACCTACGAAATCCCTTGTCCTTCACTACGGAAAGTAGCTGATCATCCAGTGCAGATCTTTAATACTGTCTTCAGCTCTGGTGCCACTAACTTTTAATATTCATAAAATGTAAATATCGACTGTCAATATTGGCCAAGATTGACACATTAGTCCGATACCAATATCATGATATTTCACACATTTTGGCTGATACCAATATGTTAACTGATATATTGTGCATGTCTACATGTAATCAGGCACTTTGGGCAGTTTAAAGATGCCCTTTTACAGAGCAGCAGGTGTTTGGGATGTACTTCTAGGAACTTGCATGAACACAGGAAGAACATGCATATTCCATATATGTAGTGGCAGGGATCATACTTTAACAATAACTCTGGAAGAATGAGGCTGTGGTGCTAACAATTGAGCCTCAACGCCGACCTACTTTACTAATCGTGCTGCTGATGTGCAAATGTGAGAAGTACACTTAAATGTCTCCACCATCTTTTTATTAGTACATAAGAACATAAGAAATTTACAAACGAGAGGAGGCCATTCGGCCCATCAAGCTCGTTTGGGGAGAACTTAACTAATAGCTCAGAGTTTTTATAATCTTATCTAGCTCTGGTTTAAAGGAACCCATGGTTTTAGCTTCCACTACAATAGCAGGAAGACTATTCCA